CCTCCTCCTTTATCCTGGCTTAGGACATACAGTGTTGACAAACACCACTGGCAGAGTTTAGTTCTAACTGTCTAACACCATAAAAATTATCTTAATTAAAGTTCTAATTGTCTAATACTTAAAAATTTATTCCACAATTTGTCCTAGTTCAACTTTTAATTCTATTTGACTAACTCCTCCTTTGATTAATTTTTTTGCTATATTATGTATGTAATATTTTCCACTCTCTTAAGTTGTTTCAACCTGAGATTGGTGTTGCTAGAATAAGGGTGAGTGTGGGTCAGGCATGGCTGAGGAATTTGCCTCCGGTTTTGGGGTTAGACCCAGCCAGGCCTACGACCCGTATAGTGTCAGATTGGGTCCAACTTGGCCCATGGTAATTTGAGTGGCGGGTTAGCCCACCCACGTTCTATTTTTCTATTTATTTTTTAGGAAAAATATGTTCAGGCCCCAAAAACAGAAACTCCATGTGCTGCAGCCCCTCCTAGTTTCCCCTATGTGGTTCAGCCCCTTGAAGTATGACTTTTTGTGCTGCAGCCCCTTTTTAACAATTGTTACATGCTAACTAAGCTAAAATCCCCAAAATAACCTTATCCTCTCTCCTCAATCCTTCAAACCCAGTTCTCTCTCTCTCTCTCTCTCTCTCTCTCTCTCTCCCTCTCTTTAAAAACAATGGCTTTCTCAAGCTCGTCGCTCTGGCTCTCGCCCTCCTCGCCGTCGCCACCTCCGCCCAGGCTCCCAAGCCTCCCCCGAGTTCGCCGCCGCCTCCCCTCCTCTCCTCCGCCCGACCTCGTCGCGGTAGCTCGCCGTCGCTCCCCGTCTCGCCCTCGACTACGCCGGAGTTCGTCGTTGCGCCTGCCACTTTTGAACCCTATTAGAACTAACATTAATAACGTACACACTCAAAAGTTTCCTTTTCCATGGATCGGATTGAGATTACGTTATCCTTGCATTACATGAACATATTATACTCCTAATCCATGCTCACGTAACTCAAATTACATAATGCCGAGCTTATGTAATTAAGCCATGCAGCTGATTACGTGATCAAAATAGAAGCATAATCCAACTTCTGCATGCATTAATTATCTCTAGCTCATCTTATATAAAGGCCATCAACCTCTGTGTTTTAATTTCTCACATCAATATCCATCTCCTACATCACAAACAAACAAACAACTGATCCTCGTATATAATTCTCTCTTGCAATTAATTAGCTCTCTTTTGACCAACTCCTCTTTCAAATTACTCATGGCTAATTATTCGTCTCTCTATCTTCATCGTCACGGCCGCCGCCGTTCTCCTCTTCTTGAGTCCTCGTGCAGCTGCCAACAGGCCACCACCCGCTTCCCTCGGCGACATCGGCACCTATAACACAATTGTATCGCTCGGCACCCCCACAACTCAATATTCAAAGCCACAGTGGACGTCGCCGGGGACTTCATCTGGGTCCAGTGTTAGTTCTATTTTATACCACGTTAGTTCTATTCTGTAGAGTGTTAGTTCTAATCTGCACAGTGTTAGTTCTATTCTGTAGAGTGTTAGTTCTAATCTGCACAGTGTTAGTTCTATTCTGTAGAGTGTTAGTTCTAATCTGTACAGTGTTAGTTCTATTCTGTAGAGTGTTAGTTCTAATCTGCACAGTGTTAGTTCTATTCTGCAGAGTGTTAGTTCTAATCTGCACAATGTTAGTTCTATTCTGTAGAGTGTTAGTTCTAATTTTAACCACGTTAGTTCTAATTTATACCACGTTAGTTCTAATTTATACCAAGTTAGTTCTAATTTATACAATGTTAGTTCTATTTTATACCAAGTTAGTTCTAATTTTAACCATATTAGTTGTAATTTATAACAAGTTAGTTCTAATTTATAACAAATTAGTTCTAATTTTAACCACGTTAGTTCTAATTTATACCACGTTAGTTCTAATTTATACCAAGTTAGTTCTAATTTATATAATATTAGTTCTATTTTATACCAAGTTAGTTCTATTTTATATTCCATGACAAAATCCAAGCAAAGATAAGAATACCAACATCAAATTTAGACTGCCTGATACTTTTGTACAAACCAATTTAGACTGCCTGATACTTTTGTAGGTATATAATGAAAAGACTGAAGGGAGTTTTTGTAACATTTCAAGGACCAATCAAAATTTCTCAATTTATCATAGAACACATGACGTCAAGCGGCATTAAGTCAAATTTTGATACACGAAACTTTTTGCAGGTCTGCATCTATAAGAAATCCAAATTATTTTGCCGGCGTAGTAAATGGCGAGCCGGGGAGCGAGGCGAGCTACCGCGACGAGGTCGGGCGGAGGAGAGGAGGGGAGGCCGCGGCGGCGAACTCGGGGGAGGCTTGGGAGCCTGGGCGGAGGTGGCGACGGCGAGGAGGGCGAGGGCCAGAGCGACGAGCTTTAGAAAGCCCTTGTTTTTAAAGAGAGAGAGAGAGAGAGAGAGAGAGAGAGAGAATAACTAACTTGGTATAAATTAGAACTAACGTGGTTAAAATTAGAACTAATTTGTTATAAATTAGAACTAACTTGTTATAAATTAGAACTAATATGGTTAAAATTAGAACTAACTTGGTATAAAATAGAACTAACATTGTATAAATTAGAACTAACTTGGTATAAAATAGAACTAACATTATATAAATTAGAACTAACTTGGTATAAATTAGAACTAACGTGGTATAAATTAGAACTAACGTGGTTAAAATTAGAACTAACACTCTACAGAATAGAACTAACACTGTGCAGATTAGAACTAACACTCTACAGAATAGAACTAACACTGTGCAGATTAGAACTAACACTCTACAGAATAGAACTAACACTGTGCAGATTAGAACTAACACTCTACAGAATAGAACTAACGTGGTATAAAATAGAACTAACACTGGACCCAGATGAAGTCCCCGGCGACGTCCACCGTGGCTTTGAATATTGAGTTGTGGGGGTGCCGAGCGATACAATTGTGTTATAGGTGCCGATGTCGTCGAGGGAAACGGGCGGTGGCCTGTTGGCAGCTGCACGAGGACTCAAGAAGAGGAGAACGGCGGCGGCCGTGACGATGAAGATAGAGAGACGAATAATTAGCCATGAGTAATTTGAAAGAGGAGTTGGTCAAAAGAGAGCTAATTAATTGCAAGAGAGAATTATATACGAGGATCAGTTGTTTGTTTGTTTGTGATGTAGGAGATGGATATTGATGTGAGAAATTAAAACACAGAGGTTGATGGCCTTTATATAAGATGAGCTAGAGATAATTAATGCATGCAGAAGTTGGATTATGCTTCTATTTTGATCACGTAATCAGCTGCATGGCTTAATTACATAAGCTCGGCATTATGTAATTTGAGTTACGTGAGCATGGATTAGGAGTATAATATGTTCATGTAATGCAAGGATAACGTAATCTCAATCCGATCCATGGAAAAGGAAACTTTTGAGTGTGTACGTTATTAATGTTAGTTCTAATAGGGTTCAAAAGTGGCAGGCGCAACGACGAACTCCGGCGTAGTCGAGGGCGAGACGGGGAGCGACGGCGAGCTACCGCGACGAGGTCGGGCGGAGGAGAGGAGGGGAGGCGGCGGCGAACTCGGGGGAGGCTTGGGAGCCTGGGCGGAGGTGGCGACGGCGAGGAGGGCGAGAGCCAGAGCGACGAGCTTGAGAAAGCCATTGTTTTTAGAGAGAGAGAGAGAGAGAGAGAGAGAGAGAACTGGGTTTGAAGGATTGAGGAGAGAGGATAAGGTTATTTTGGGAATTTTAGCTTAGTTGACATGTAACAATTGTTAAAAAGGGGCTGCAGCACAAAAAGTTACACTTCAAGGGGCTGAACCACATGAGGGAAACTAGGAGGGGCTGCAGCACATGGAGTTTCTATTTTTGGGGCTTGGACACATTTTTCCCTTATTTTTTTTCTTTTGAATTTTTTTGCTTGATTAGTACATATGGTTTAAATAGGGAGACATGTATTTTACCTTTTTGTAAAGTTTGGACTTGATACCTTTATAATTGGTGATGTAGTTATATTAAAGGACAAATTGTTCACAATAATTTGTGCATTTTTAATGTGATGGACTAGTTGCTGGGCTTGGCTAACATGAATAATAATAATAATAATAATAAATGGGGTTGAGTTGAGCTATTTTTAAACAAATAATTGTGTTGGGCTGAAATTTCTGATAAAAATAAAAACATCACATTAGGTGGGCCCGGCCGGGTCGGGTCAAGCGTGGGCTAGGTTGGACATGGTCCGAACCTGCTTCTTTGTCCACATGTTTAGAGCCGAACCCAGTTCGTCCAAAAATCCAGCTATATCATGGCTCGAAAGTTTATTATAAAATCATATTAAAACTCTTTGATGGTAACATATATAGGAGATTTAAGAATTTAAATTCCACTTGCATTATATAAATCTATTCGAGCTTCAAAATTTCCAAACCTATTTTTTTAGCAAAGAGTATCAATATGGCAATATTTTTCAAAGATTGAAAATCTGATAGTACTAGCATAATAATTTATCTTGGAAGTGTTGCCAGAGGATTTGGCGCTCAACTCCCATTTGCATCCCTCCTTGTCTACACAAAGAAGAGAATTTAAAGAAAAAAAAAAAAATCCAAGTTGATTTTATATCTGTTACACACAGGGGAAAGGTTTATGGTAATTTGGTAATGGTCAATTTAACTTGTTGCTGGGAACTTTGTCACTATGCGCTTCCTAATAAAGAAGCAAAGTAACGTTCAATTGTGTAATTTATCATCACTTAATTACTCTGCAACGCCACGGTCTCCGCTAGCGTGCAAAAGACAGCTCTCAAATAACATGGTGCCAAGCACGTGACCACTTAGCTGGAGAGACGAGGAACGCAGTCCACGTGTCAAAGTTTATTCCGAAAAGTAGCTGTTTGCTATTCGGCATAAGCTCAGGCCTCGCTCAGTCCGCTGCCGAGGCCGTTGCTTTCTCCCCGCCACGCTTTCCCTCCTCCCCGCTCTACCGCCATTGAACCCTTCTCAATCCAATCTCCTCTCCTTCTCCAAACACCAAACAGATTCTTCACCCTATTGCCATCCGCCACGCGTCATTCTCGCTGGAGCAAAAGCCACGCGTGACATCAACGCCACATACGTTGCTTTTGTGGTCCACACAATACCTTGTTTTTTTTCCCCCACTTTTCCTACGATTGGTGAAACCGCCTGTTAGATTGAAATTCGAAAAATAAAAATTAATTTTTCATGAGATTAATGCGCTAAGTTCTGAGGTTAAAAGTTTACAGTTGCCGACCTTTTCAAAAGTTTGGGTTTTGAGAATTTCATTCTTCTTTGTTTTCGCGAACTCGACTGATAAATTAGGTTTCTCTTCCTCCTCCAATGATTATTAATCGCCGGCCAACTTAAACTCAGGTGCGATCCAGCTCCCAATATTTCCCTTTTTTTCCCCCAGAATATTAAATGCCGTTTTTTCGTGCGTTGGAATTGTTTGACATAATGCATCTGAAAACTTAAGGTTCTCAAGAATTTTCAATTACAAAATGCGCTTAATTTATTGCATTTTACAGATTTACTTTCTGTAGGTTAAGTAAACTGTAATTGTAGTTGGCTTATTTATTTTGATGACCCCATTGCTGAACCTTTCTACTTTTGATTTGAAGCTGAAGTGGACAGGGACTAATCACGTTAGCCCTAGGAAAATATGTCGATTTCTATGAGGGACTTGGATTCTGCTTTCCAGGGAGCAGGACAGAAAGCGTATCCTTTTATTTAATGTGTTATATTTGTTAATTACTTTGTTTCTAATAGTTTGGCATCACTTTTTGCTTTCTACTTTTTTTACCCCCTTTCAAAAATATTAATTTATCCTCCTCTCATAACTAGTGCAATGATTTACAAATTTCATGTCAATGAAAGATACAGTTAAAAGTTTATGTGGTTAGCATTACTATTTGATGGCAGTTATTACCTCTCTGCACATAAGAGACATTGGTTTGTGAACGTGGCATGATACTTTAAAGAGCAATTTTGAAAACTCAGATTCATGGCGTCGGGTTGAAGTCAACTCATGTTCCAGATAAACTTGTGTTGGGTTAGGTGTGAGTGGCGTAAAATTCCTGTCTGCAAAAGCCAAACCAACTTCAAATTGGAAAAAAAAAAAAAATTCACTAGAGGGTGCTGGTTCTGGTTGGAATTCGTTTTCACATTAGTTCAATATCTTATTCTTCATCCATTATGACTTTGTCTTTCTTCGTTGACATGTTCATCTTTGTTTGTTGAAGTCTTGAAGACGGGTACGATTATTCGGCAATAATTTTAAAAATGCATGAAAACTGATGTATGATAATTTGATAGGATAGTTTTCATTGTATATAAACTATTATGGTATATGTAGTGTATTAAACAATGTATACAAGGTCGGGTTATCTGATGGCTATACTAGACTGCATCTGTTTATTAATCTTGATCTGATCTGATAGGGAAAATGCTGGGTGATTGAATCAGGTCGGGTACAAACCTGATCATTTTGTACCGTGGTTTTATCAGCTTGCAGATGATATCTAGATTTTATAAGATCTACCATGAGGTTTCACTTGATCATCAAGCCTTAAAAATGTGAAATATTTATGCCGTCATTTCTATTGTGGGGTGGTACCATCATTTTTCTTTGAATTTTGAGCTTTTAGGTAAACATTGAAATGCCAAACATTAGTAGTTCTTCCTTCATGTGTTGCTGTTTGGAAAGTCGAATCGCTGAAGACCACGGCAAGAAAATATCTCATCGTTTGTGATAGTCATTAGATTACTAACTTGGTGAAAAATATCTTAGCCTAATTGCATGGCATGATCTTTAAAAAGTTGTAGATTTCACATGTTTGTTTGAGTGTGTTGAGACTGAGTTTGATGGCCTTTAAGGACATGCCAGTTAGGCGTGCCATGTTTTTGCTCTGATAAAACAAATTGGTTACAGGCTTTCGTCAAGTTCCTTCACCTATCTCATTTTCCTCTTCTGTTGTCTGTGACTGATTTCTTCAAGATTGGCAGGACAACTTAGATGAAGACTTCAAAGAAAGCTGCTTATTATGTTATTTACTTTCTTCATTTTGCTGCTCTGACTGTGTATTTTTTCATCATTTCTTGTTGTGATAATACTTGTATTCCTTGACATCTTATAGTGGAATAGAGATATGGCGCATTGAGAATTTTCATCCTGTCTCCGTTCCAAAATCTTCTTATGGCAAGTTTTTTATGGGGGACTCCTACTTGATTTTGAAGGTGCTTTGTTATGTTCTATCTTTTCCTTGAAACCAGATATTGTTTTTTACACAAGTTTGGTCTGTTTCGCTATCCAGTTAAATTCCTATTTATCAACACCTTCGAAGGGGATAGCAGTAGACCATGGAAGATTATTTGTCAACAATACTTTGGGGACATGTTTTTTTTAAATAAATACTTTACTGATTCTTCCATTCTTATTTATTTTTTCCTTTTATGATGTAAGTTCTTGACATTTTGGAGGTAATTCTAGTTTGAGACACTGTCTAAGAAATGATCTTTTTCAAATATATAACAGTTTTGAAAGAGGGTAATGTGTCCAGCAGCTCAGAGAAAAAGAAGGAAGAATGAAGTATATCAAAATCTTAAGTAGGGCCAATAGAGATCTTGCTATCCGAGAAATTATCAGATGCTCCTTGAGCACATGAGGTGGTGCTCTGGATAGAACAAAATCAAATGCTCAACACAGTAGTTCCTTTCTTAAAAAAAAAAAGTTCATGCCCTAGCACCTGCTCATGCACTTCAGGAGTGAATTCTTTCTCCTAGGTCCAAGCTTTCTGGATGGAGAAGAGGAGATATGTGGAAAAGAGAGCGAAAACTTCATAAAGATAACATGGAGACCTTAACTTCTAATCATCCTTTTGTGCTATTTTAGTAAGATCGAGTTTGTATATAAGCTGCATACTAACTTTTCTAAATACAAAGCAGTAAATCAAATGAAATATAAAACAAAGGACAGATCCACTACATAGTCTAAGACACATGTAATGACGTACTTTTAGGACTATGATGCAAATTTGTATTTGATAGGGGTTAATTGGATTAGCTACTTATTAGCTAGGTTTCTTTTGAACTGAAGCCAGGAAGGAGGCAAAAGGCAGAATAGATTTGTTAGGGTTTTGCATTTATTTTGCATTTTGTTTTAATTAGAGACCAGGAGCAGTTGGATGGAAAAAAATGACAGAAGCTGTTTCAGATTTTGAGGCCCATTATTTATTTCCCAATTTATCACATTTCATCCAGGTAAACAAATGGTAAGATAGTAAAAAATGATTACATTCTCCATCGAAAGATGTTAATTGTGTGCACTTGCCCTATCAATTATTCATTATAGGGACATGATTGCTGCAATGGGGGTGAGGTGTGTCAAATAATCTCTATAGCAGCAAGTAATCATGCTATGTAAGAGTTTAGGTGGGGCCACATGAAATTTGTGCAACTCACAGCGAAACCCTAGCCGCCACCCTCCCAAACCTAGCCATCACCCACCACCATCAAACCCTAACCCTCTATCGTTAGCCGACCACCCTAGTCGTCACCACTTCTGAGTTCTGACCACCGTTCAAAGTACTGTTCATCTGCCACCAGCACTGCTCATCAGAACACTGTTCATCTCTCCCGATTAGACCCAGGCCCGAAACAGTAACAAAGTTAGTGTTCATCACATGGTACTGTTCATCAGGAACATCGTTTGACATACTTTGTGATTGATATAGCGGAAAACTGATTTGTTTGGTTTGGATTTTGGAGATTGGTTGGTGGAGATCGTTCCGTTGGTTTGCTTTGATGTTTGGTTTAGTAAAAATTGTTCAGTTGGTTCGTTTTGGAGAAGATCATTCTCTCAGTTCATTTAGTGGATCCTTAAAGAAGGATCCTTTGTTGTTGGATTCTTTAAGGAATAATCATTTGTTTGTTAGATCATTAAAGAAGGATCATTTATTGTTAGATCCTTAAAGAGGGATCAAATTCCTTAGAGGATTGTTTGTTTGGTGGATCTCAAAGAGGATCGTTTGTTGATGGATCCCTGAAGAGGATCATTTGATTGGTGGAGCCCTAGAGAGGATCAATTGATTTGAGGGGATCGTTTATTTGGTGAATCTCAGAGAGGATCATTTGATTGGTGGAGCCCTAGAGAGGATCAGTTGATTTGAGGGGATCGTTTATTTGGTGAATCTCAGAGAGGATCATTTGTTGATGGATCACTAAAGATGATCCTTTGATGGATGGAGCCCAGAGGGGATCAGCTAATTTGAAGACGTCCAAGTAAAAGATAAGCAGATCAAGACTATTTTGAGTTTTTAAAGCCTTGTCACAGATTAGAGCATGTGCACTTTACTTGTAACAAGTTAAACATATATAATATATATGTTCAGCTTGAGGGGGACTGTTGAGAGTTGTTTTTTTATGTATGTTTAGTCCCATATTGGTTAGTGACAAGCCTATTTATATTTATGATATTATAAATAATGTCTAAGAGAGGGAACTAAATATCCTTTCTGATTACTATTTTTAACAGATTGTTATCACCGATTTCATCTCCATCAAATTATTTTTTGCTTAGTTAAAAAACTGTTCTCATACAGACAACTGCTTCGAAAAGTGGTGCTTTGCGTCATGATATCCACTATTGGCTTGGTAAAGATACAAGTCAGGTTTGTTATTGAATCCTCCACTGTATTTTGTGAATCGTTTCGTCAAGTGGCCGAAGCTGGTATCTTAAACATCAAATTCTATAGGACGAAGCTGGGGTGGCTGCAATCAAGACTGTGGAACTGGATGCAGCCCTTGGTGGTCGAGCTGTTCAATATCGTGAGGAACAGGGCCATGAGACTGAGAAGTTCTTATCTTACTTTAAACCATGTATTATTCCACAGAAAGGAGGGGTAGCATCAGGATTCAGGCATGTAGAAATTAATGAAAGTGAGCATGAAAACCGTTTATATGTTTGCAAAGGAAAGCATGTTGTCCGTGTAGGAGAGGCAAGTTCTATCCTGCTAAATTAATTGTATTTTTTTTTTTACTTCCACTAGAAAGTGTACCTTTTTCTAGCCAAGCCTTTTATCTGGATCTGACTTTTATTTCTACTGTTTCAGGTTCCATTTGTTCGATCATCTCTCAATCATGATGATGTATTCATCTTGGATACCAAACGGAAGATTTTTCAGTTTAATGGATCCAAATCATCTATCCAGGAGAGGGCAAAAGCTCTTGAGGTTGTCCAATATATAAAAGACACCTATCATGACGGGAAATGTGAGATAGCGGCTGTTGGTAAGTGTTCAGAGTTCTTCTCGGTGGTTGAGCAATTATCAAAGATTTAAAGGTATCTTAATCTTATAATCTCAGAGGACGGGAAGTTAATGGCTGATGCTGCTGCTGGAGAGTTTTGGGCTCTTTTTGGTGGTTTTGCACCTCTTCCACGAAAGACAGCCTCTGAAGTAGTTAAAGTTGAAGAGGCTTATCCTGTGAAGCTGATGTGGTAATTTTTCAAGAATACACCTTCAGTTATACTGCATGGTTTTGCATCATGCAGGGTATCTTTTAATGATTTTATATATGAAATTTTTAATGAATAATTTTTCTAATACATCATTTTTGTCTTTCTAAGTGTTGAGAAAGAGAAACCTGTGCCTGTAGAAGCCGATTCACTGTCAAGAGAATTATTAGAGACAAATAAGTGTTATCTTCTTGACTGTGGGATTGAAATTTTTGTATGGATGGGCAGAAATTCATCTCTTGAGAAAAGGAAAAATGCTAGTGCTGCTGCAGAAGTAATTTTTAATCTGTTCCTGGTTAAATCTTTATTATAGCTTTTCGTGCTTAGATGGTTATAGAATGATGCTTATTATCTCTGTGCAGGAATTGGTTCGTGGTCCTGACCGGCCTAAATCTCACGTAATTCGTGTCATTGAGGGTTTTGAGACTGTAATGTTTCGATCTAATTTTGATGCATGGCCACAAACAACTGCTGTGACTGCATCTGAGGATGGTCGAGGCAAAGTTGCTGGTCAGTAAGTGCTAATATGGAAATTCTTTTGTGATTGACATGGATGTGCAATGTGCTTAATTTCTGTTTAAATGTACTGTTTTGTTTTACTTTCTGATTTTTTTGCTAATAATTTTGGGCAGCTCTCTTGAAACGCCAAGGACTTAATGTGAAGGGCCTTATGAAATCTGATCCTGTAAAAGAAGAACCTCAATCATACATTGATTACACTGGCGATTTGCAGGTGATTTTTCTTTTTATTTTTATTCAGGAACTTCATTTGTATTTTCTGACATTCCTATCAGCAGTACAAATATAAATATCACTTTTCACAAGCAAAATTTTCTTAATTGCAGTGCACATAGAATTTGAGTACAGTTGCAAACTGTTTTCATGTTCACTTTCTTGTTCTTTTCCTTGGATTTGATGGACAGATTTGGCGTATAAATGGCCAAGAAAAGGCCCTTCTTTCCTCATCTGATCAGTCAAAATTCTACAGTGCCGATTGTTACATGTTCCAATATTCATATCCAGGAGAAGGTCGAGAGGAATATCTTATTGGAACTTGGTTTGGCAAAAATAGCATTGAGGTGAGTTAAATATTATTTATTAGCACGTGACTATGTTGATAGGTGGCTTGTTCTGTTTACCAAGTTCAACAAGTTTGGTTAACACTAATGTTATAACTTTATTATTGTGCCATAATCAACTGCATGATTTTGTACTAGGTAATTAATTAGGTCATCGTTTGATTGTGTTACATTGTTGGCCTTTGGTTTCATCAGATTATTTGAAGTTTTTAACATGAGGTTTCCTCTCCTCATTCAACATAAAACCCTTTTTTGATTAATTAGTTTCTTTGTCTGTAACTATGAAAATGGGTATCTTGACTGTGTGAGTTTAGTTTTTCTCCCCAGATCCCAGCTCTCTTTGTCTTTGTCGTATCCTCTTAATTACCAATGTCGTGGATAGGCAGGACAGGCGATCAACAAAACAAAGGTCTTACAAGTCAGGATACAAAGCCAGGAATGCGTCTTTGTATAGAATACTAAAGGCACACATATCTGCATGTCAGCGCACGTGAGAATGAACATGCTCACGTATACAGGCTTGCATGTTCATAGTGAAGGAATAGGTTTTCCACACCACTACTCATTTGCATACTTTGACATAGTGAAAAAACATTTGTCAAGTTTTATTGTTTCTACTCTTCTCTTTTTGCCTCCTTTCCTCGATCCTGTCCGATCTGTTTAACTCAACTATTTTAAAGTACATAAATATTTCCTATTCCTCTTAAGGTAACCATGTCCTAGATATGGAACACATGCTTCCGAGTGTCATTTTGTCTCATCATGTCCTGGTTGTTGAGAGAGTGGATAGCCTTCTCATCAAAGAGTCAGCAGTGTTCACCTACTCTTGTGCTACAGTGTTCACCTACCCCCGTGCTACAATGTTCACCTACCCCCATGCTACAGTGTTCACCTATCCCAAATAGTGTTCACCTACCCCCATGAAAAAAACTTATAAATACCCCCCCTAAGTTTGATTTATAAGGTATCTCAGTAGCAGAGAAAGAAAGAGAAAGATACAGATATAAGTAATATCATTGAGAGATCTTAAGAGAGAGTTTGTGAGAATTCTTGGAGATTATCTTGATCAAGAGAGGGTGTTCTCTTTTATCTTTTTCCTTTGTAACCTCGAAAAGAATATAAATGAATTGGGCGTCGTCATTGCACTGTGGAGTAGCTCCATAAGAGTGAATCACATTATATCTGTGAGTACTGTGATTGAATTCGTGTTTGCTGGTTTTATTCTGTGATTCCAAGATCGTTTGGGTGTGTTTTGCGTCTCCGTTTGAGGCGTTCTTGCTGGCGTGTACCCTAACACTGGTAACATTGGTCAATGTACTTTGCTTTGGTGTAACCTTTGCATGGGTGCATCGCGTATTTCTTTGTTAAAATTTGCAGAGAAACATTTTGTTTGTTCAAGAGTGCATTGCCTTGAGAGACGTAAGCTCATACGAAGTTATGTCACTTCAACAAGTCAAGTTGTCACTAAATATTGTATGATAACTATTTGAACTTGTTTTCCTCGTTTACTTATCGTTATATACTGAAGTATTTCTGGTGGGATACAGGAAGAGAGGTCTGCAGCTACTTCACTTGCAAATGAGATGGCTGAATCTTTTAAGTTACAGGCTGTTCAGGTAATAATTATATTAACAGAGATCTAAAATATCCGTTTCCGCTTCATTATTCTTTATTCTCCATTTTCCATGCCACGGACCCTTCTTTATCAGTTCTGTCTTGTGTATTTACAGGCACGCTTCTATGAAGGAAATGAAGCTATTCAATTCCATTCGATTTTGCAAAGATTTATATTGTATAAGGTTTGGTAGTTAATTTTTTTGAACAAATATTTCCTCTCGATTTCAAGGTTTCTTTTTCTATGAAGTGAAGCATGTTTGATGCTTTTGATTTGCAAATTCCCAGGGTGGTTTAAGCTCCGGATACAAGAAATTTATCACTGAGAACAACATTGATGATGAGACCTATAATGAAGATGGGACTGCACTCTTCCGAATTCAAGGTTCTGGACCAGATAATATGCAAGCGATTCAAGTTGAAGCGGTATGCATTTAGAAAAGCTCTTTATGTCTGTGAATCTTGAATTTAGTTTCTTCTACTTCCTACATGCTTCAAGTCTATAGAACGCTGGTTATAGTTGACAAAAACTGATTTTCTTCCATTATCTTTTATAATGCTGAATTTATTTACCTTTAGAACGTGAGATACGAGTCCTATTGTTAGGCGCCTAATGAAGCCAAGCACCAACCCACCCAGCAGCCAATGTTGAAAAGGAAAAAGAAAACAAAATGGTGGGGCTCACTGCTACAGTAAAATATTAATATTTTATTATGCATAGTGTTTTTCAAAAAACTATAAATAGGGCTCCGAATCCTTAAGGAAATCTCATCCCAGAAACTTCTTCTTATATAGAAGTGTGTGAGAGAAAAAATAGAGAGTATCTTCTTCAAAAGAGAGATTGTAACTCCAGAGTTTTCTCCTCATAGTGAATTCTTCTATCCTTGCCCGTGGACGTAGGAAATCAAGTGCCGAACCACGTAAATCTGTGTGTCCAACATTTTATCTCTACTTTTGCTCTACTATTGCTGCGACCCTACTCTATTGGGCCCCGGGTTTGTCCCAACAAGTGGTATCAGAGCCAACTTAGGGTACTTGTATATATTTACTTATCGTATGCTCTGTGGTTGCCACCAAAGGTGGATCCTCCACATCAGAAAATAAGTTAGGTTATCACTTACCCTTTGGAGGTGACGGGTACTATTCACGAGTACGGCACTGTTCACAAATATGGTACTATTTATAAGTACGGTACTATTCACGGATACGGTTACTGTTCATAAATACAGTACTATTTACGTGAAATAGTAAGAAGTTATTGTTCGTGGTAGAAGCAATGGCGGCGAAGTTCAAGATTGAGAAATTCGACGGGAGTAATTTCTCACTGTGGAAGTTGAAGATAAAAGCTATCTTGAGAAAAGATAATTGCCTAGCGGTCATTGGTGCAAGGCCGGACGACATCACAGATGATAAGAAGTGGAACGAGATGGACGAAAATGCTATTGCAAATCTCCATCTGGCATTAGCAGACGGGGTGCTGTCAAGCATAGAGGAGAAGAAGACAGCAAAGGAGATCTGGGATACTCTAACAAAGCTATATGAGGCGAAATCCATGCACAATAAAATCTTCTTAAAAAGGAGACTTTACACTCTGAGGATGGCGGAATCTACATCGATGACCGACCACATCAACACCCTAAACACACTGTTCTCCCAACTCACAACGTTGGGATATACAGTTGGTGCGAATGAACGTGCAGAACTTCTACTTCAGAGTCTACCTGACTCGTATGATCAACTCATCATCAACCTGACGAACAACGTCCTCACGGACAATCTAGTCTTCGACGATGTTGCAGCCGCTGTTCTGGAGGAAGAAAATCGGCGCAAGAACAAGGAAGACAGGCAGACAAGTTCGCAGCAAGCGGAGGCCTTGTCGGTGACGAGAGGAAGATCAACAGAACGTGGCTCCAGTGGGAGTCATGCCCATGGTAGATCGAAATCACGAAGTAAGAAGAATATCAAATGCTACAACTGTGGCAAAAGAGGGCACGTCAAATCGGAGTGTTGGCACAACAAGAAGAGTGGAGATAAAAAGTCTTCAGAGCCATCAACATCTCAAGGATGCGTTGTCAGCACGTCAGAGGATGGTGAAATTCTATTCAGTGGAGCAACCACTGTTGATGAAGGCAGAAAGAAGTTTATTGATGTCTGGCTTCTAGATTCAGCAGCCTCTTGACACATGACCTCTCGGAGAGATTGGTTTCACAAATATGAACCTATCTCAGGAGGATCTGTATTCATGGGGAATGATCATGCCTTAGAGATTTGTGGTATTGGTACTATCAAAATCAAAATGTTTGATGGTATAATACGCACCATTCAAGATGTGCGACATGTGAAGGGCTTGAAGAAGAATCTATTGTCTTTGGGACAATTAGATGAGCTCGGGTGCAAGACTCATATAGAAAATGGAGTCATGAAGATTGTTAGAGGGGCGCTTGTGGTGATAAAAGGAGAAAAGATAGCTGCAAATCTGTACATGCTCAAGGGAGAGACTCTGCAGGAAGCTGATTCATGTGTGGCATCAACCAGCCGTGGAGAAGAACAAACCATGATGTGGCATCGCAAGCTAGGCCACATGTCAGAACGAGGCTTGAAGGTTCTCTCCGATCAGAAACTGCTTCCTGGACTTAATTCGGTAGCTCTTTCATTTTGCGAGCATTGTGTTACAAGCAAGCAGCATCGACTGAAGTTCAACACATCGAGTTCTAGAAGCAAGGCTATTCTAGAACTGGTTCATTCTGATGTATAGCAAGCACCAGTTACATCCTTAGGAGGAGCAAAGTATTTTGTGTCCTTTATTGATGATTACTCCAGGAGATGTTGGGTGTATCCTATCAAGAAGAAGGCGGATGTGTTCTCAGTCTTTAAAGCCTACAAAGCGCGGGTCGAGCTTGAATCTGAAAAGAAGATCAAGTGTTTGAGGTCAGATAATGGAGGAGAATACACAGACGGTGAATTCCTAGCATTCTGCAAGCATGAAGGCATCAAAAGACAATTCAGTACGGCTTATACTCCTCAACAAAATGGAGTGGCGGAGCGGATGAACAGAACTCTGTTGGAAAGAACAAGAGCTATGTTGGCTACTGCAAATCTGGAAAAAGTCTTTTGGGCGGAAGCAGTAAAAACCACCTGTTATGTGGTGAATCGATCTCCATCAACTGCAATACAATTGAAGACGCCGATGGAGATGTGGACTGGCAAGCCAGCTGATTATTCCAACCTCCATATATTTGGAAGTCCAGTGTACGTAATGTACAATGCCCAAGAAATTACAAAGCTGGATTCAAAATCCAGAAAATGCATATTCTTGGGGTATGCTGATGGAGTAAAGGGGTATCGCCTGTGGGATCCCACTACCCGCAAGGTTATCATCAGCAGAGATGTTATCTTTGTAGAGAACCAACTACAAAGTGAAGAGGGTTATCATCAGCAGAGATGTTATCTTTGTAGAGAACCAACTACAAAGTGAAGAGAAAGAAAGCAGTTCAAAGAAGGACTCAGAGACTGTAGCTGTTCAGGTAGAAGATGATCCGAACTCTTCTGAAGCAACACCGGAGCATGATGTACAAGAACCAGTTGAGTTCGAGGCTCCAGAAGTTCGAAGGTCAACTCGTGAGAGAAGACCACCGACTTGGCACTCGGAGTATATTACGGAGAGTAATGTTGCATACTGTCTTCTAACAGAAGATGGAGAGCCATCAACTTTTCATGAAGCTATAAATGGCACAGATGCATCTTTGTGGATGACAGCAATGCAGGAAGAAATTGAAGCTCTCCATAAGAACAAGACTTGGGAACTTGTGTCATTGCCACAAGGAAGAAAGACCATTGGAAACAAATGGGTCTACAAGATCAAGCGAAACGGCGAGGATCAGGTGGAGCGATATCGTGCTAGATTGGTGGTAAAAGGATATGCTCAGAAAGAAGGTATTGATTTTAATGAAATATTTTTTCCTGTAGTTCGACTAACAACAGTCCGATTAGTCCTGGCTATGAGCGCTATATTTGACTTACATCTAGAGCAGCTAGATGTGAAAACAGCATTTCTTCATGGAGATATTGAAGAAGAAATTTACATGCTCCAACCAGAAGGTTTTGAAGAAAAAGAAAAAGAGAACTTGGTTTGCAGATTGAACAAATCTCTGTACGGTCTAAAGCAGGCGCCAAGGTGTTGGTATAAGAGATTTGATTCATTCATCATGAGCTTTGGATACAACAGACTTAATTCAGACCCTTGTGCATATTTCAAGAGGTTTGGTGAAAATAACTTTGTTATCTTATTGTTGTATGTTGACGACATGTTGGTTGCAGGCCCCAACAAAGATCGTATCCAAGAATTAAAGGCTCAGTTGGCTAGGGAATTTGAAATGAAGGATTTAGGATCTGCAAACAAGATTCTAGGGATGCAAATTTACCGAGACAGAATTAATAGGAAGATTTGGCTTTCTCAGAAGAACTATTTGAAGAAAATCTTGCGACGCTTTAACATGCAAGATTGTAAGTCAATTTCTACCCCACTTCCTGTTAATTTCAAGTTATCCTCCAGTATGAGTCCTAGCAGTGAAGAAGAGAGGATGGAGATGTCTCGAGTACCGTATGCATCAGCAGTGGGAAGCTTAATGTTCGCGATGATTTGTACAAGACCAGACATTGCACAAGCAGTGGGAGTGGTTAGTCGATACATGGCGAATCCTGGTAAAGAGCATTGGAATGCTGTAAAGAGGGTTCTAAGATACATTCAAGGAACCTCAAATGTTGCATTATGTTATGGGGGATCTGATTTTATTGTCAGTGGATATGTTGATTCTGATTATGCAGGTGATCGTGATAATAGCAAATCCACCACAGGTTATGTGTTTGCACTTGCTGGCGGAGCTGTAAGCTGGGTTTCAAAACTGCAGTCAGTTGTGGCTACTTCAACAACAGAAGCAGAGTATGTAGCAGCTACACAAGCTAGTAAAGAAGCGATGTGGTTGAAGATGGTGCTGGAGGAACTCGGCTATGAACAAAAGAAGATTTCTCTATTTTGTGACAGTCAGAGTGCTTTGCATTTGGCAAGAAATCCAGCCTTTCATTCAAAGACCAAGCACATTCGAGTTCAGTATCACTTCGTTCGTGAGAAAGTGGAAGAAGGAACAGTGGATATGCAGAAAATTCACACCAAGGACAACCTAGCAGATTTTTTGACAAAAGCAGTCCATACCGACAAATTTACTTGGTGTCGATCCTCTTGTGGTCTGTCAGAGACGTAAGCAACATGAAGATGGCAAGATAGAAAAAATGGTGTGAATATATGATTGATATTCAATCAAATCTTCAAGTGGGAGATTGTTAGGCGCCTAATGAAGCCAAGCACCAACCCACCCAGCAGCCAATGTTGAAAAGAAAAAAGAAAACAAAATGGTGGGGCTCACTGCTACAGTAAAATATTAATATTTTATTGTGCATAGTGTTTTTCAAAAAACTATAAATAGGGCTCCAAATCCTTAAGGAAATCTCATCCCAGAAACTTCTTCTTATATAGAAGTGTGTGAGAGAAAAAATAGAGAGAGTATCTTCTTCAAAAGAGAGATTGTAACTCCAGAGTTTTCTCCTCATAGTGAATTCTTCTATCCTTGCCCGTGGACGTAGGAAATCAAGTGCCGAACCACGTAAATCTGTGTGTCCAACATTTTATCTCTACTTTTGCTCTACTATTGCTGCGACCCTGCTCTATTGGGCCCCGGGTTTGTCCCAACACCTATGACCTATATCTTCTGTTGTTTCCTGTGAATTCTTGCTTTTCTGCGATATGTTTCTTTCTGTTTTCATTTTAGTTCCATTCAGATACCTGGAGAAAATGTTTTCTTGCCTAGGTATTTGAGAGTATAAGAAATAGATCTGTGGATCTGTGGATATACATTGCTGCTTTTATAACTGTAAAAGGTGCTTATTGTCTGTTTTCCATTTTTATCAGGTGGCATCATCTTTGAATTCGTCATATTGTTACGTACTTCATAGTGGCAGTACTGTTTTTACATGGTCTGGTAGCTTCACCTCCTTAGAAGATCAAGAGCTCCTTGAGAGACAGTTAGATGTGATAAAGGTGAGTATCTCTTTACGTTTTTACATACTTGATATCTTCTGCCATAATTTCTATTGGCATCTGATTTCATTGAGACATCATGTGTATTTTAGAGGGTTATCTGGAACTGTATTTTTAAACAGTGGCCTATCCATTAGTCTTGGTTAGACTATGGTACAGACAGAGTGCAACATAATATGCTAAGTCAGCAAGAGTTAGTCCTCTTATGGAATCCCATTACCACCATGGTATAGCCAGCCAAAATCAATCCTGCCTTGTCTTAAATATTTTATACATGGTTACTATTATTTGTTAGAATTTAGGAAATCATAGTCAAATGATAGTCATAAGTAGTCATGTATATATATTCAACAAAAATTGTGTATGACATCATCAACTCTATGCAGAAGTGCTAGTCTTCTAAGTAGTAGTAACTTTATAGTATAGGCTCCGTCATAAGTATTCCTTAACATTAATTTATGCTATTTGGCTTTTCTGAGCATTTGTAAGCATTCATTGTGAAAATCATAACTTAACCCAACAGAGAAGCTTACGAAGAAGTTGCATACAGATTTGCATTGAGGGAAGCAATCTAGATTTTCTGTGGGAGGACTACAACTTTTTAATTAATTAAATATTTCAACCATTTCCAGATAGTTATATGTAATATTCACATTTTCGGTAACATTATGTCTGCACTTATATTATTTAGTATTTCTTCATGCCTTATTTTCCCAAGGTATTCATTTATGTTCCTCCTTTAATACAAGCATTCCTAATGACTGTGAATTTTTGCAGCCGGCAGTGCAATATAGACCGCAAAAGGAAGGAACAGAAACTGAGCAATTTTGGGATCTATTAGGGGGTAAATGTGAACATCCCAGTCAAAAGATCACAAGGGAACCAGAAAGTGACCCTCATTTATTCTCCTGTGCTTACTCAGACGGTAGGAATAAAGAGAAGAGACCTGTTATAATGAAGTTCATTTTCTTTTCTTTTTAATGTTCCATATGGAAGAAATACTGTCTAATTGCTGCTGTATCTTCCGTGACGTGCAGGGGATTTAAAGGTGTGTGCTGGGGGCATCCTTATGTACTTTGTCTCCATAACAGTTCATGAGTGTCTAATGCAAAATTAAATGCCAATAATATTGTCCTAGATATTTTATTTTCTGGATTTAGCTTTGGATTTTAGTTGCATCAGAAAATTTTTTCAGGTCAAGGAAATATTCAGCTTCGATCAAGATGATTTGATGACCGAAGATATATTCATTCTAGACTGTCACTCTGACCTCTTTGTTTGGGTTGGGCAACAAGTTGACCCAAAGAGCAGATCACAAGCTTTAAATATAGGGGAGGTATAATTTGCTATCCTGTGTTACAAGCTTGTAAAAAGAATGTAATATTTTTTATTTGCTTCCTTATTTTTCTGTTATCGCTTCAATAGAAATTCCTTGAACATGATTTTCTCTTGGAAAAACTATCTCGAGAAACGCCAATATTCGTTGTTATGGAAGGAAGCGAACCACAGTTCTTCACCCGTTTCTTTACCTGGGACTCTGCAAAATCAGGAGTAAGCAGCTATGTTATACAGTCGAAGTGCAAAAAATCTTCTTTTATTACTGATTATTTTGAGAAATTCTTTTGTTTTTTATTGTTGATTGAAGTATAAATAAGATAACACTTATCAAAGAAATTTGTACTGCTTGAAATAAAAATATAATCAGGTTTGGTATTTGCTTCAGACTTTGAAAGAGGTTCTACATTTCTTTTTGGTTGCAGATGCATGGCAACTCTTATGAAAGGAAGCTTGCAATTATCAAAAATGGACGGGCTGCAGCATTAGATGTAAGAAGGAAAATAGTCTCTCATTTACAGTTCTGGATTTCTGCTCCATATTTTGCAACTATTTTCTTCCGAAATAGCAAATATTTGATAGTATATGATATAGGTCGTAAAAGAGGAATGTTATATGTCAATATCTTAATACTTAAACCAAATATGGAGCATGAACTTATGTGGATATTCGATCCAATTTTTTGTTTCTATGCTTTGGGTTTGCTCATGTCTAGTGTTGTAAAATGGTAACTTAACTGGCTATTATTATATACTTTGTTGAAAAAGATTGGTTTTTATTTCAAAACCAAGCCAGTAACTTTATTGGACTGAGAAATTAGATTCGACAGACAACTGAATGGGGGGGGAGCTAATAACAGATCGATCACATGAGTATATATGAAATAAAACTAAATGATTTATAAAATATACAATATATGTTATCATGTCCAGTGTATGGCAAATCATACAACAAACTTATTACTTCCTTCATATCTAGACTACATCACAAACTTCTAGATAATCAAGAGTTACAGTGACTGCATTCTGGTTATCATTAGGTGAAAAAGTGCAAATGGTATCAAAAAATTCCATAACTGGACCAAAAAGAAATGAATCATTTTGCGGGAGATGTCTGATATAATGAATCTATGATGAAACCGTGCTAAAGAGATATATCACAAATGCCTTGTCTTGCATTTGTCAGAAGCCCAAGCGGCGGATACCAGTGCATGGAGGAAGATCTAGTGTGCCAGACAAATCTCAGCGCTCAAGAAGCATGTCCTTCAGCCCCGATAAAGTTCGCTTAAGGGGAAGATCCCCAGCTTTTAATGCAATAGCTGCTAATTTTGAGAATTCTAATAATTCCAGTGCTAGGAATCTTTCAATGCCTCCTCCACTTGATAGAAAAGTTTATCCAAGACCAGTTCATATGGATTCATCAAAACTGGCTTTGGATTCCGCGAAACTGTCTTCAAGGTCAGAAGCAATAGCTGCTCTAACTGCTACATTTGAATCACCAAGACATAATAATATACCAAGATCACCAGGTATTTCCTACACAACTTACTGCAATGCACAATTTTTTTTCTGTTCTTTTATATTTTATTATATAAACATAACCTACCAATTCTGAATGAAGTCCGGAGAGCAAAATCAGGGCTTTCCCCAAGGAGCAGCCCTAGAATGGATGAGCTAAGTATTGCAGAAGATGCAAAAGAGGGTGAAATTGATGAAGAAACGTTCCCTGTGTTTCCGTATGAACGCCTAATAACTTCATCTGATGATCCTGTTACAGAAATTGATGTAACCAAGCGAGAGGTAGGTAGCTATTCTTTTAGGAAGTAGAAACCTTAGAGTATGATCATGTTTAGTGATGGATTATATCATGTACTATTATGACATATACGTATCTTAGTCCTAATGTGAGAACAAGTCAACTAGAAGTACTGAATTGTGAGTGATCTCCTATACTCAGAGCTCTTTTAGTCATGGATTCTATGATTCTTCTCTTTTCAGGTCAACCATATAATCTGTTTGTGGGATGTTAGATAAAGTGCAGTCATTCCATATGTTTTGTATCTTGGAAACTTTTTTTTAATAACTTTTGTGTGTGGTGTGAATTGCAGGCTTATTTATCCTCAGAAGAGTTCAGAGAGAAATTTGGTATGGGCAAGCGCGATTTCTACAAACTGCCCAAGTGGAAGCAGAACAAGCTCAAGACAACCGTTCATTTGTTCTAAGCTTTTTGGTAGCGCAGGGTTTTGTTTTCCGCCAATTTATTTATTCTTTTATTATCATAGGTCTTTTTGCGGCTCACAGTTTTGTCTTCATTTTTTCAATTTAGTTATTGTTTTTAAACAGTATAAGAGGGTTTAGAGTTCTGCAAAACATTGAGAATTGCATTAATATAGGAAGCAGGGAGTTTGTACATAAATGTGGAAAGTTAACAGGGATGACTTGTTGT